AAATCAATTCAGTCTCAGGCTTTTTGACTGTTTGTACTTAGCTTATAAGGTCTGGAACCAATACAACTGAGTCCTTGACACACATCAATATTGCTTAAACGTAATCCTAAGCAACCAAATAGTTCATCAATAAGAGTCATACCTACTCTCAGGTACCCAATAGAGTCATCAACAGGGCTCAGGCCCAGTCTTCAATGCCAAATGCAGGTCATTAACCTAGGACCGCCATTTAATTGGGTCAGTGGAAAGCCCTAACATCAAGTGAGTCAAAGCTTTTACCATCCCAGTCCTCTACACTAGACACAAAGTGAATCTAGAATTTATTCACCTTTGGACTTCAGAATATATTGAAGAAAGACCTAGGAATTGCTATGTCACCTGCTATCCTAAAAGCATCAACTCACATTAAGAAAGATTTGGAAGGTGTTGCTATAGCAACTTTGTTCCCTTCCTCATTGAAGCTCACATAGCATCATGAGGGGGTTGCTATGACAATCTCCAATCTAAGCACCAGCTGCTTAGAGGTAAAGTCTGGAGGAGTTGCTATGGAAACCATTCTCCTATTAAGTCATCAACAGGGCTGGTTTCTTGGCAGTGTCCTACCATAATTTCAATGTATTCACAACCTAAAACAGCCATCCATTCTTCCCATAACCACAATATAAATCCCACCGCACCATTCTGTTCCCCACAGTTCTTTACTAGACAAGATTGACTTTTTTATTTTCAAACATGATAGCACCCCCAAATCTTGGAGCATTTTAAAATACATGGGAGTTTTGAGAGAAACAGTTGTCCTTAAAATCATCTTTTAGACAATAAAAGACCAAAATAATTGACTGGATATTATTCACCAAACTCCAGTTACTGAAAATCCCTGCTCAGCTCTAGAATTTCTGCTATAAAAATGACTTTGTTTTAAAGCCTCCCTTTCTTCTGCATCAAGAAATATTTGTCACAGTTACTAGTTAACAAACCTTTTGTTAGATACTGGCATAATGGATTGAAATGTGGTCACAACAGATCAGAGAATGCTCATATATTTGACATCCCAAATAACATTATCATTAGTAAACTTTCATCTTGTCCTCAGTGCTTTTCCAGAGGTTTGTGTACAGACTTTCAGATTTTGAATGGCTATACCAAGTAAAGATCAAACATATTATCAGGCCATCTAGTTCTCAATCAACATGCAAGGAGCTAGAGACTGTCCCACAGATACCGAAACAATCAATAAATGTTTAACTAAACTAATGTGAGAGAGCAAACTGCTGTTCTCAAGTAGGGAAAAAGCATGTAACTATAGAGAGCTTTGCCTGTCTACCACTGGATCTTCTAGGGCATCCCTACATCAGAATTTGAAGCTTTTTTTTTGTGAGACCCACATAATTATCATATCTTTGACCACAGAATTACTAGTTTCTTCTGCACAGTTTTTCCTCTGAAATCAAAAGGTCCTAAACGAGGTCATGGGATAATAGAAATCCTCTGATACTCTTTTTAAAGAGAAGGGCAGATACTATTCCACTCCTAACCGGAGGGACATGTGATCATATCTTCCACAAGACAGGGACAGTCTCAAAAGTTACCTATGCACTTCATTCTCACACATTGTGACTTAGTCTGGTATAATACAGAAATCTTTAACTTGCTCTATGACTTGAGATGAAGATATACAAAGATAATTTTTCGTCCGTAGGCCCTGAGCCTTAAATCTGAAGAAAACAGTTTGCCAAAGCCCCCAAATATGAGTTTCTTGGAGCTTATATCTTTACCTTTTTCAATTTTTCAAAAAAAAAGTTTCTTCCTGGCAGCAATCTTATCAGTCAGTGGAGTGAAAGGGATTAAAACAAAGAATTTGATACACTTTTTTGCATATCCTTCTATCCAGGTACAAATTGGATCTGGTTATTGCCCTGTTAAGTTAGCACCTTCTCCAACATACCCACCTATGAAACCCCTCAAAGAAATAATTAAAATGGCTGGACCTGACTCTTACTGTACTAATAATAGGAATGACTTCACTGAAGTGAACTGAATTACATGTATGAAACTGGTGAAACAGAATTTAGTTTATAGTTCCTGTCCTAAAGAACTTATAGGGGTCCCTCAAGGCTCTGTACTTGGACCCATGTTGTTCAACATCTTCATTAATGATGTGGACATCGGAGTCAGAAGCGGACTGGCCAAGTTCACCGATGACACCAAACTTTGGGGCAAAGCATGCACACCTGAAGACAGGAGGGCGATCCGGGCTGATCTGGACAGGCTCAGCAAATGGGCGGATGAGAACCTGATGGTGTTTAACACTGAAAAATGCAAGGTTCTCCACCTTGGGAGGAAAAACCTGCAGCATCCTTATAGGCTCAGCAGTGCTACACTGGCTAGCACTACAGAAGAAAGAGACTTGGGGGTCATCACTGACCGCAAGATGAACATAAGCCTGCAATGCGATGCTGCTGCTAGTAACGTGACCAAAACACTGGCTTGCATCCACAGATGCTTCTCAAGCAAATCCCGGGACGTCATTCTCCCCTCATACTCGGTGTTGGTGAGGCCTCAGCTGGAGTACTGCATCCAGTTTTGGGCTCCACAATTCAAAAAGGATGTGGAGAAGCTTGAGAGGGTGCAGAGGAGAGCCACATGCATGATCAGAGGTCAGGAAAACAGACCTTACGATGACAGGCTGAGAGTTACAGGGCTCTTTAGCCTGCAAAAGCACAGGCTCAGGGGTGATCTGATGGCCACCTATAAGTTTACCAGGGGTGACCACCAGTATTTGGGGGAACGTTTGTTCACCAGAGTGCCCCAAGGGATGACGAGGGTGAACGGTTATAAACTACTGCAAAACCGTTTCAGGCTGGACATAAGGAAGAATTTCTTTACTGTCCAAACCCCCAAGGTCTGGAACAGCCTGCCATCGGAGGTGGTTCAAGCACCTACATTGAACACCTTCAAGAGTAAACTGGATGTTTCCCTTGCTGGGATCCTATGACCCCAGCTGACTTCCTGCCCTTTGGGCAGGGGGCTGGACTCGATGATCTTCCGAGGTCCCTTCCAGTCCTAATGTCTATGAATCTATGAATCTATAGTCCAAACTTGGGAACAGAAAGTCAAGAGTGATGGTATAAGGTCACATAATTACTAAATAAGGTACATACCCATTCTGGTGGTTCCATTAACTTAGATATTTGGATTTTTTTAAACTCTATGTATGTAACATGGCTGAAGTGAGTTCTTTTTAAGAAGGACAGAGGCTAAGGAAGTGACTTAGTGTGAAAATCTGATTCACGTAGAATAGCAGCATTAACAAACATATAGAGACAAAAAGAGGAGAAAGACTCAAACACATCTTAATTAACATTTCCTGACTCATGACTTAATTAGGAAGAATCCCTTGTAAGGTGACTGAAAGTAGTTTCAAGAGATAATACATGCGTAACCAGTAAGAATGACACCATGCATCAGGTAAGTGGGACATAATGCTTACATGGCACTAGCATCGACTGAGCACGGCCTCTTTGAAGGGTGTTTGTTCCTTTGAAATGCCAGTATTTACCAAGACGGCATGAAACAATACAGGAGATATGCTTGCATTCAGAAGTAAATAGAGTGTTTGTTTTTCTATAGCTATTCCTAAGTGGAGGACACAAAAACTTAGCATAGATATGAGCATTTAATTTAAGAAACTGAAAATGAAAGGTTTATTTAAAACACCAGAAGTACATAAATAGTTTGAAAACAAGACTGCCTATTTATTAATTCTAATAATAATTGTGGATTTTAGCTGCATCTAGAAAACTATTTGAAAGCCTACATGTTGCTATTCAGTGGGTGCATCTATATGTGTGCTTTACTGCAGACCTGACTAATTGGCTTCTCATTAAAGCATCACTGTCTACACATGCACCTGTCTTAGGGTGCAGTAACTTAATTACCTCTTCTGTAGGATAGGACTGCCTAACACAAGTACTATCCTACAGCAGAGTAGTTTCATGCACCGAAATGCACGTGAAGACAGTGGTGGCTAGCCCCACACTGTAACACCCTCATACCCCAGCCAGCCCCTCCACAGTATGTTGAGCTGGGGTGGAGCAGCCTCCAGCTGGCAGGCTGACCGCCAGAGTCCCCTGCCAGTTCAGGGCTGCTCTGCCCCATCTCAGTGTGCTGTGGTCCTGGGTGCACATGTAAATGCTATGCCTGGGAGAAATAAACTCCAGCATGAGCTGCACCAAAGTGTATCGCTGCATACTAATTGCAAGTGTACATGCACCCAGTCTGAACATTAATATTAAAAAACTTTAATAGTGTATTTTATAATATTCATGTTTGAAATATAGGTTACTTTAAGATGCAAATTGATTTTATTTTTCTGAGGAATCTTGTTCTCACTTTTAAGGATTCAGAGAGAAATCAACTGTTTCCCATATAGATATTTGGCAATTTTGTGACCAGACATTAATTGGAGAGATTTCCGACTCTAAAACATTTGGGTTTAAGAATGGTTATTACTGCCATTCTGTTTAACTTGATTCACTACCAGGTTAAACACAATGCAATCTGTAAGTATAAATGTTTACGTACAGAGGATACTAGCTATGAAAGTAGACCCATTAAAACATACACAGTAAGCCTGATAATATATAATATAACCCCATAGTTCCATTCCAAAAACTTCAAATAATTAAGCTGGTAATTCATTCTTCAGTCACATCTTTCTTCCATGTCTTTCTAAACCAGGCAAAGAACAAACATTTTAGTTAGCAAACCCCAAAGGAAGTAAAAATGGAGAGAGAGGTTGTATAACCAACTTGCATTGTAAGGAACAATGATCCTGTACCACATAGGGAAATCTACAGTGAAGAGGTGTATTTCTATGAATTCTGTTCATAAGGACTAATTCATAAGAGAGTTTTGGAAGAAATAGGAGGTCACTATTAGATACAAGTAAATGAGAGAATGTTCTCTCGCTGAACATATCTGTTTCACTTACCTGAAACACTTTTGCCAAATTATCAAACAGAGCTTGACCAGCACTGACTTTATGTTTAACTCCTCTGACTGTACCATTTTTGCTTAGAATGTTGACTCGTTTTGTACCAAACCCCTTGTCTTTAGTTGCTCTTGCTAAAATGAGCAAGTCATCCTGCTCATTTTCATTTTCATCACACTCCGATCCTAAATGTCCATTCTGCTGTCCATCCAGTTCACTCAGTCTGCTGTTTTGGTCAGTCTCCGAACTACTGGCACATTCAGAATCTAAAGAGTCTGCAGTTTCTCCATCTGCATACACCTCCTTTAGTACTCTCCCACTATGAGAAGAAGCAATTCGAAAGCGGACTTTCCTTGACAGTCTCTCAACTTCAGTCTTCACCTCATTTTTAAGCATCGTCATACCCATTGACATCAACAGTTTACATTGTTCTGGTTTCGTTGTCACTGTATTTGCCAGTTTGTCACACTTCCAACACAGAGGTTTTCCAGTGACAACAGGACTCATATTGAACTAAAGTCTAAAAGAAAGAGGATTCCCAAGAACCTACACTGCCGTTCTCCAGTTAATAATGAATGTGTTTGTGCTATGGTTACCTTTAAACTAAAACCTGAAAATTGATATCATCAATTAAATATTAAAGAGGCATTGTGTCGTTTTTTAGCACCAAGGAAGAAAGAAAAGGAAGGCAGGAAAGAAGGAAGTGTGAATAATTATTGATTTAAAGAGAAAATAATATCTAAAATTTGTATCAAATTAATATGTAAAAAACAAAATAATAGCAATTACATTCTGAGAGTTTATTTGAGGTAAAGGTCTTTTCGAGAGAGTCAAAAGAGAAGGAAAAATTTTCTTTGGGCTTCAGTTCTATTGTAATTATACTTCTGTTTTTCTGTGCTCCAGGTTTGAAGAGAGGCCAATGATGGATGCATAGTTTTAAACAGACCGATAAGCTCTCGGTAATAGGTTAAAAGCCAGTATTTGCTTTCTGTGCAATTCAGTGGAAAATCAATGGGAGTTTACAGATAAGGGCAGAATTAAATGTGTATATTTGGTGTTGGTGGCTTGTTCATACAATGGTAAAAAGAAAAGTGAGTAAACACACTTTTGATACACAGGTCACATCTATATGAGATGCTACTGTTCAGTCATTACTGCACATTTATTTTGTATTTGTATTAGCAAGTACTAAATAAATTCATAGTAACTGGAGTTACTGCACAGTGGCACCAGCAAACATCTTTTAGATGATACTACTGCACAGTAGTCTAATAATATTGTAGTCTGTGCTGTGATGTGCTATTGCACAGTATTTTTCAGCTACTGCACAGTCAGCATCTTGTGTAGACATGCCCACAAAGTAATAAATAAATATATAATAAACTTAGACATAAGTAATACTTTGCAGTAGCTCTATTTCTATTCTGTTTTATAAATCATGATAGGCTGAGTTAAGGGTGTCTTGAGAAGAGGTAGAAAAGAAAATGATTGGGGCCAACAACAGGCAAATGAAGAAAAATGGGACAAGAACAGGGGGCAGGAACACATTTTACATGCTTGGATCAACCACAAGAGATCACAACCATTTAGTGCCAGCTTCTACTTCTTCTGAAACCAGTGTGACTAAACATGGAGTAACTCCTATAACTGGAACTAAGCCTTTACTGATTTTTAAAGCTAAATGGTATATTAGTGACTAGGTCTGTGAGAGACTTCAGATCATACTTTGGATCCGGAGAAGCTTCGGACACTTCAGCATCCGAAGCAGCATGTCCGGATCAAAGCACTGGCTTCTTTCAGCTTGGAAGCTGGAGCTTCCAAACCACTTCAGAAAATCTTCAGAGCCACCTCAGAGATCCAGCCATAGTATATAATGGGGAATCAACTAAATATCTATAACTTTGTTGTTTTTTGTCTACTTTGGATGAAACTTGCCGGGGTGGTAGCCTCTACTGAGAACATGAAGCCTGCCAAGTCTCAAGAAGATCGGTTCCGGGGTTCGGGGGAACGGCACCCTATCTTCTTGAAAGCAAAACTCATGTCACGTGTATGTGTTACACCACAGGGGGGTGAAAACTGCAGGGGTGGTTTCCCCTGAGCAGGCCATGAAGTCTGCCAAGTTTCAAGGTGATAGGTGCAGGGGTTTGGGGGAAACTGCTCCTCAAGCTGCTGACAGGCAAAACTCGAGACATGGGTGCTTGTGCAACTGACTGTCTGTCTTGGGGCAGTTGATTGTCTGTATTGATTATTTCTTCGGTTTAGTCTGTCTTTTTGTAGGTGTTAACAAGCAACAATTAACACCTACAAAACCACAAACTAAGGAGAGGACATAATCGATACAGACAATCAACTGCCCCAAGAGAGATACAGTTGCACAAGCACCCATGTCACGAGTTTTGCCTGTCGTCAGCTAGAGGTGCAAGGCCCCAGAACCCAGAAGCCCTGCATCTATCTCCTCGACAGCTGGCAGGCTTCGTGGCCGCAGCAGGGGCCACCATCCCTGCAGCTTTCACCCTGCTGTGCCTTAATACACACAGTGTCACCCATGTCACGAGTTTTGCTTGTCTGCAGCTTATGGTACGGTTCCCCCCAAACCCCTGCACTTATCTCCTTGAAACTTGGCAGACTTTGTGGCTTGAGCAGGGGCCACCACCCCTGCAGTTTTCAACCTGCTGCGCCTTAACACACACAGTGTTATCTATGTCACAAGTTTTGCCTGTCAGCAGCTTGAGGTGCAGTTCCCCCCAAACCCCTGCACCTATCACCTTAAAACTTGGCAGGCTTCATGGCCTCAGCAGGGGTGAATACCCCTGCAGTTTTCATCCCTCTGTGGTGTAACACATACACATTATGTGAGTTTTGCTTTTAGGAATTTGGGGTACAGGTCCCCCTGAACCCCTGCACTGATCTTGAAACTTGGCATGCTTCATGCTCTCAGCAGAGGCTACCACCCCTGTAAGTGTTATTCAAATCAAACAAAAAACAACAAAGTTATAGATATTTGATTGATTCCCCATTATACCCTATGGCCAGATCTCCGAGGTGACTCCGAAGCTTCCAAGCCACTTCGACCGGATTGAAGTGGGACCCGGTCCGGAGGTCTGGATTGGATCGTTGGCATTCAAAGAGGCCGGATCCGAAGCCGAATCGAATAGCTGCCTACTTGCACAGGCCTATTCTTGACCTGTCAGTACTTAATTCAAGCAGCAGGTTTCTGTGCAGTGTATTAATAGCTGCAAGAATAAAAAAGGTCTGCCAGTCATGGGCAGCCAGTATAAACATATTTGTTTGGAGCAGTTTACATTTGAAGAAATTGCACATTTTCTACTGTATAGTGTGATAGTGAATGGTTCACTCTAGTATTCACGGCTTGATACAGAACCTTCAGGCCGTGTTGTTGAGCTGTCATTGGTCACATAAATCACATGGATATTCTCAGAGTTAAACCTAAACAGGAGCATTGCAAACATTTCCTTACATAAAAAGTGTCCATATGTACAAATGTCTGTTTACACGGGCATGTGCAGAATCTGTAGGTAAAACGCTTCTTGCATTTAACAACTTACATGCTTTAATTTGAAAATTCAGCACCAACTGTATTTGAAAGCAGGTGGCCAAAAGACTCCATACTGGCATACAGCTACGTTTATTGGGCTCAAGTAACTCTCTTACTTTTTCTAATCTTGTTAAATTTCCGGTGGCTAAGGGAAATAGTTGCAGGCAGAACATTCAAAATAAATTGCGATAGGAATTCTTTCTGTCTTTAATTTTTCCACTCAGTGATTGATGAAAAGCAAAAATAATACACAATATAAAAAATAACCTTTTAGAATTTGCATATGTGTGCACACAGTTCTTCTGAGTCCAGAGCTAAGTACAGACAGTGGGGGCACCAACATGGTGCCCTGGGCCAAGTCCCTCCAAGGAGCAGCCAGCTGACTGCAATGAGGGGGTGAGGAGAGGGGATGTGACCTGGTTGCAGGAGGGGGGAGCCAGGGCTAGTTATGAAGCCCGACTCACCACTGTCTCCCACTGCAGCAGCACGGCCTGGACTGGGACAATCCGGGGGGGG